GTCGTGTAGAGCTCCGTGAATTAAAAACCAAAGCCTGGGCCTCGATCAGATATCTATTTGATCATAAGGTAAAACAGTTATAGGACAAATTGCGCACCGTTGAGCGATTCCGATTCGTTCTTCCTTCATGGGCTGCCGCTGGTTGACACAGCCTATCCATCGATGGGCCGTGCGGGCTTACGAGGCACCTCTCGCTCATACCTGTGGGCGCTGTTGCTTCGCAGGCGGTGATCGATCAGTATTTCAGATGGTCGGCCCGAATCTGTTCAGCTCGCCCATTCGATAGGCAACCAGCATGATTAATACTGCAACTAAGCACTACAGTTGACAAGGTGTAGGCGCCTGGAACCTGAACGTTTGTTTAGGGCATTTAGGATTAAGTTCGTGTATAATGCCTATTTATTGTTAGTCCCGGAGAGAAACGTAAGCAATGAGTTCAGAGCAAACAATTGTTTTCGATTTATTCATCATCAGGCTCAATGCAGAAAAAAGCTGACAAATCTCTGGTGAGTACAAAGAGTAACAAATGATCATTCATTCATTCATACATTATACACGTTAGCTAGAGCTGGGAAACCTGTCAGCTACTGTGCCGCAATACATTAAGGAGAAATGGGTGAAATGCAACAGGTGCAAGCCAGCTGATCTACCGGTAACGGATAGGCATCGTTCCAGTAAGCTAGCAGCCGGTTACTATGGAGCAAAAAATTACTATGCAAAAATATATAAAGCTAAATAGTGAGATCGTGGTTGGAGGGGGAGGCTTAGAGGGATGGGACGGACAAAGAAACTCACAGCACGAACGCCACTGAGGTCGGCTCCTAGCCATATCAACAAGTGTATCCAGCCAAACGTGTTCATCGTATTTCGGACCCCAACCAGGGAGCCGAGATGCTCCAACCGAGGCCAGCTCAGAAGTGAGGGTCTTCATTCCTCTCGACCAAGTCATCGTTTGGCCACCTCTCCTTCCATCCACACCACCGGCGCGCAAACAACGCACGTCGCGGGAGTCAGTGGGCTGGCATGCGTAACACGTGGCCGAGCCATCGGAGCATGGTGTGTGAAATAACGGTGTTGAGCGATTCATTTCCTTTTCCTGTGTCGTAAACAAGGCGTCGAACATGCTCGTTGCTTACTCGGTGTTCCCACCAGATGTGGGTCAAATTGAGAAAGCACTGGTGGTCGAACGTCACTAGCCTCTTTATGTCCATTGATCTAAAGAGCGAGGTTTCACAAGCGTACAGTAAGGTTGAACGTACCAGTGCATTGTACACTCTACCCTTCAGAGCAAGAGTGATGTCACGCCGGCGCCATAAGTGGCGAAAGCTAGCAAAAGCGCCCCGAGCTTTGGCTATACGGTTCGTGATCTCATCTTCAATCCCACGGGCGCTCATACAACTTCTCCGGTAGTTGAATTTTTGAATGACTTCGAGCTGATCCCCGCCAAGCGTCAGTGTAGGAGGCGGTCCAGACCAATCTTGGAGGAAAGCTTTGCACTTCGAGGGTGCGAAGCAAAGCCCGAAGTGACGGACAGCTAGTGCTAATCTGTCCAGTGCCGCTTGGCATGTTTGTGAGCTGTCGCAGATTAGGGCAATATCATCAGCATACTCCAAATCAGGAAGTCGTTCTCCTGGGAGTACCTCCACACCTTCTAAGTCTTGTCCTGTGAACGCGATTTCCATGACTTCGTCAATAGCGAAGTTGAAGAGGAAAGGTGACAGCGGGCATCCTTGTCTCACACTAGTGGAGAAATAAAAGGGCGTCGACAGCTTGCCTTAAACCCTCACTCTGCCTGAGCTAGGCGCGTGTAATGCTCTGGAAATATTTACCTGCTTCTCAGTTACACCTTTCCTGAGTAGACAGTCCCAAAGTGCACCTCTATCCACAGAATCGAATGCACCTTTGATATCGAGGAACACGACAACGGTGGGTCGCCAATATATGTGACGGTGCTCCAACAACTGACGCAAAGTGAAGATGTGGTCAATGCAGCCACGACCTCGACGAAACTCGACTTGCCCTTCACGAATCTGGCTTTCACGAGTGCCAGTCAGTCTGTGAAGGATGACAAAGGCAAGCAATTCGGAGGCGGAGGTCAGACTGATTCCTCTAAGGTTGCCGACTTCCGATCGTGAGTCTTGAAAATTGGGACTACGACGGAGCGGCTCCAGTCGGTTTGGACAGTTTCACTAGTAACTCATATAAATCATCCACAAAAGCAGGTCCCCCGAATTTGAAGAGGGCTGGAGGAAGGTCATCAGGTCCCGCGCCTTTGTTCAACTTCAACAGTCCGATCTCACGTTCGATTTCTAAGCGAGAGGGTGGGTCCAAAGGGATAGCCCACGGAGCGGGGGGATCAGCGGCCGGCGAGAAATCTAACAATTCCGACCGATTAAATTGCCTTTCAAAGTGCTCAGCCCAAAGCACCAAGCGTTTTGACAAATTATGTATAGGCTATCCACTCTCGCCATGTATAGTTTCACCTACACCAGGTCTCCTGCTGCCCGTTCCTCGTATCAGACGGAACAACTTACAGTTGTTACCAAGGGCAGCAGCCACTTCCATTTAGGGTGCACGATGAGACCACCAGGGTTCGCGGTCTCTCTTCAGGCTAGCACGGAGTTTTGCCCGGAGCTCTTCGCGAGTTCCATTGTGTTCGCTTCCAGCCGGAATATGTCAGCGAGCGTCGATAAGTTCCAGAGACTGCGAAGAGCCCCAATGTCCACGTTGGCCATTAGACTCACCACACGAGGATTTGCCTGCAGCTAGTAAGGTCTGGTGAATATGAGACCAGTGAGCTTCAATTGCATCCAGTGAGCGCTTACTCAACTTGCATGACAACGTACTTTGATAGGCATTCAGAACAGCTGGATTCGCCAGTTGGCTGGTGTCAATGCGCTCACAACGTCGTCGTGGGCATCCGCCAAAATGCATCCGCAGGTCAGCACATGCAAGTGCATGGTCGGTGTCCACACATCTGCTCCAAATCGAGCGACAGTTCTGGACGCAGCCTCTCCATCGGTAACTTATCGCAATGTGATCGATTTGCATCCATAGCTGGTTCGAGGCTGGTGGGCGCCGAGTCACTCCCCGGCGGGTGCTGTGTCGGAAATTAGTGTTCGCAAGAAATAAGCGAGCATTTTCACACAAATGAAGTAATCGCCCACCGTTATCATTACGGAAGCCTACACCATGTTGGGCGCTAAGATCAAAATCATTCGAGTCGTGTTTATTGATATGCGTCTGCTGATCATGTGATGGATGGTACCAGGTGAGCAATGAGCGTGTTCGGCGTCGTATATTTGGCGCAGGAAGAGCGAGTGAACTGCTCAGCACCATTATATTACGCACCAGGCTCCGATGGCTGGACCAGTACACCGACTCCCGCATCGTGCGTTTTTTGCGCGCCCGGGGTCTGGATGGAAGAATAGGAGCAGAGGCCAAGCGATGACTCGGTCGAGAGGAATGAAAGCTCACACTTCGAAGTTAGCGTCGGTTGGTACATCCAGACTTCCGGACTGGGATACCAAGAACGATAAACACGTTTGGTTGGATACAATAGCTGACATGGAGAAGAATCGACCTCAATGGCATTTAGGTTGTGAGTCTCTTTAGCCTTCCACTTCAAACAACGATTTTAATTCAATGCATAATATGAGTAGCATTATGTTATTTTTTTAGCTGTTGCAATCTGTAATGCTTAATCTCTTATCCTTTTTGTATTGCGGTACATTAGCTGAGGTGTGTTTTCCAGCCTCGGCTAACGTGTATTGATGATGGGAATGATGAGAAACATCCAAATGGTCCAGGATTTGAGGCCTGCTTCCTCTACCTGATAAGATCATATAAGGTCGAAATGTGTCAGAGGAGTGTATTGTTTTCGGGCTAGCAACATCCAATTTCTACTTGCTTCAGCTACGGTCCTCGTGATTGAAAGACCAAGGTTCACTTCAATGGAAGTCGCGATCCACGTTGAGATTGCGCGTCACAATCCAATTCCACAATGTGTACTTCAAACTGACCATCCAATGACCTTATGTCATTTATTCGGCCCTCTCGTGAATTAGTGTGTCTCCGGGATGGCGTATGATAACACAGTGACTAATATCCGAATGAGTGGGGCACATCTCACGGGTCCTTCATAGAGCGAAGACGACAGCCAGGAAATTAGCTAAATGCGCTATAAAGCCTTGCATGGGGAAGGCAAATCAAGCAAATGGAAGTTGTCAGTCAGCTGCCCAGGTCTGCATGCAGCATCGCATCGAAACCAATTAGTGAACCTTCAGACTCCGTGTAAATGCAAGTATCTCGAGAACGACGGCGACAAAATAACCAGATTGAAACAACACTTTGGAAGCGATTAGCCTGAATCTCAGGTCTCAGAACATTCATCCTTCCGTGCAATCACGGTGTCTTCATCAGCCAGTAGATGAATCCAGGACTGTTAAATGCTTCATAGATAAACAGTAAGTACCAGAAAGTGGATCGCTGGGTGACCGTCAGATAGGTGATAAGTGGATTGAGCTAAACGTTACCTGGTGATTTCACAGGGATAAGGGGAACGACACACATTGACTAAACGGCAGAACCAATACGCGGAGATAGTACTGAAAAGGAACACACTAACGCCATGCACTCCTCTAAGCAACCATTTCATCCTCGACCTCGAACTGACCGCAGTTGAATGGTCCGGTGAGGTCTTGAAATGTGCCAACTACCATAAGCCCGATATTAGCAGTCAGTTCTGAATATTAACGCGAAATGGTTCCAATAAACACGGAACATATGAGGCTGTTTAACTCTAAGGGTTTGAGAGTCGAACCCCCGTGGGAAATTTCTACGGATAGTGAAGCGCAGGACAGTGTTTACGCCGGACAGGTTAACTTGAAATCACCCTCACTGCAATGGAGATGCACGTGAATGGTTTTGGTAAAACAAACTTTACAGACTGCTTTCCACATTGACAAAGACCGCTCCATCGGGATACGTGGATGACTTACCAGCTGATTGATTTGAGCCAGCGACGGTGTCTCGATGTGCAAACGCTCGGCGGCGATTCGGTGGAGAGCTGTATTGTCTAGAACAACCTAGAAGATAAACAAAAACCGTTGAGAGAATGAAGTGAAAAGTTTAATGTACACCAGCTTTAGGTAATAACAAATGTTGGGAAAACATGCTGAAAGATTCCAAATACAAAACGGCCAAAGATAGCGATCGGGTGTATGACTAGCCGGTATAGACGAGACCAGCATCCAGTCGTTACGTCTCGGGGCGGTGCCTCAAATCAATTCATCTAAACGACCATGATCTAAGCGCTGAAGTGTGCAGGATTCAGTGTGGCTGCAACTAGTGCCACCACATAATAATGACTCTCAGTAAATAAACAAACTTGTATGATTGCCGACAATCACTACATGATCGCTATGTGGGAGTAGGGTTATAGTTTCTGTACCTCCAAAATACAGCAAAAAAGGTCGGATAAGTGATCCGGGGAGGACAGAAGGAAAGCGCAAAAAGAGACCCTCACTGCGAAAATGAGGTCAGGTTAACAACGATCGGCAAGAAACCGAATAGATGAGAAGGTACCATGCGGGATAAGCCACGTGACACCGGCGCAGCCATTTCCGAGGGCGCAGTCCGAAAGAAAAACAAGAATAAGCTTGACTACCAAGGCTCCTATCTAGTTCTACATGTTTTCGCCCTAACCTTGAATGTTTCATCGCAACTTAGCCCAAGTCAGTGCAACAATAAGGTAATCCGCTGATATTCAGAGGATATGACTCAAATGATGTGAACACTTTTAATTCAAAAGACACCTTTAGGTGGAAACGAAGCCGTTGACCACTTACCTTGGTATCTATTACTGTGTCAAATATACGCTGGTGACAATACGGTCAAATACAATTGAGCCCGATTAAATCGGTTGTAAGAGACCACATGCATAACTAGCAAGATATCCAACTAATGACCGGACCTCCTCATCATTCCTTTCCCCTTGAAACCGTTCGCACATTGGTTCATGCGCATCCTCTTTCATTGCCGCAGTGTCGCTAATGGGGTTATTACTACGGTAACGTAGCTGACGGTCACGTGACCTACCATACTTATATACTCGGACCATAGTTGACCGACTGGACGGATTAAAGTGCACTGAACAAAGCACATCCGAAGTCGACCAAATGGGGTACGTGAGGTAGGATGGCTGTTGCTTCGGATGAGTGGATGTTGAAGACCGCCGAGTACGTGGAATAAAAAAGAGGTGCTGTCAGTGCGCAAGTGCCTCACATTGATGCTTCGATGTTATACAGCTGAAAATGGTTGTAAGCGATCTCGTACACTACCAGGATGCCTAAACCTGGGCAGAAGTGGGGACGTGAACCCAGGACGGAGGTTAGATACCTAAACAATAACATTGCGGAAATCGTACGCCACGGATGCATTAAGAAACAGGGATCCATGAGATTCGAATAAAGCCTGCTACCAATCATGTGACACAGGCTAAACACTAGAGGGACCGTGGACAAGTGGTCAGGAGCATAGCGTGCGGTGAAACAACACTATGCGTAGAGAAACACATGGAAACCCAGGATAATAGAATTGTATTTTCAATGTAAATAATGCGCAAACATTCACTACATAACCCGCCGAAGAAAGCAAGTGCGACTGAAGACGATAGTGAAACGTACTTGCAGCTGTGGCCACCAAAACGTAGGCGCAGCGAGGACTTACCACGCAGTCGGCGTTCAGAGTCAATCGTTTCAATGTGAGTAAACTGTTGTAGGGCTGTACGACCACATCGCTGGTGTCTTCTACGTTTGGAAACACTGAGTAGGTTTGGATCAACTTTTTCGGAAAGCGGGAATTTAAGCGCTCAAGTAGATAGGATCCCATGCCGGAACCAGTGCCCCCAGCGATCGAATGTGTCATCACGAAACCCTAGAAAAAACAACGGTTTCGTTGAGTGAGTCAGCTGAAACGATACTAAAACAATTCTATCCAATATGAGACAGGGCAATACCGATTAGGTAGAAACTACTGAGACGGGTGAAAGCAAAGTGAAAATGTCATGGATTAAAGAAAAGCCGAAGGAAAGCAGCGCAGTAAATGCGACTGTGTCTAACGGATGCGGCAACCGGAAATGAAAACGTCGTCCAGACACGACGGGGTTCACCCGCTCCTTCGAGGATGACAAAACAAATCTGGTCGGGGAAGAGCGCACACACACAGACGACCAACACAGAGAAATTCAAGTGAGGGTACGACGGGATGCGCTTCAGCTAGAACGCCGCGCAGCAGAATGTGCATACACTACGTCCTAAATGAGCCACACCGGTTATTCATGCGGGAAAATAAAGGAGGATAAATAGATATAACGCCAAGAGAGGAAGGCAGATCAAAATTTGTGAGAGTGACCTTGAGTGAGAGAATTCAGATTGCCATAGAAATGTTGTGAATCTGATCTGAAGTATCAGCAAACGGAAACTCTCATTCATCTTACGGGCAGAAGCTGAGCTACTTCATACCTTAAGTTTTCTGACATTTGCAGTTGGATAAATGAAATGAACTTCTTGTTGTCTGAAATAACCACCTGGGTTAATGTCAAAAGAAACTCACTGCAGCTGTGCTTAGTCGGACAGTAAATGACACGCTCGGAGAAAACGGCGGATGGCTACTTTACCTTTTCGGAATTATTGCCAGCAATACATACTCCATTCTTACTGTGAGGAGTCAGAAACCTACTTTTCTAGTCAGCAATAGATGGCAGCAGCCGCTATGACCAAGCTGCTAACAATACTATGGCGTAGCTCAATCTTCACTGTCGAGCGAGTGTCAGACGGTAGTGTTCCACCAGTCCGCAGCGCGAAAATTCAGGTAAAAATTGGATCAGAATAGAATGATCCCTTTGATTTAAACTTTTAATGTCCCGCTTTTTGCGATAAACAAGCATTGGATATTGTTTTATAGAATTTGCAATTTTGAAATGATTTATGTATATAAATAAGAGAACACAACTTAGTATGTGTAAACGGATAAATGCTCCGTTATTATAGGCCAAAAATAGCACAAACGGAGGTTTCTAATGAATAAACGACTGTCAATATGAAGTGTGTGTACGGATGGCTGTATACCGCTTAATTGCAGGTCATTGGAATCGAAGGCGGTTGATCGGCGTACATGGCACGATCTAATCACGAAGGCAGTTGCCGAAGTGAGGGAGAAAAACCTCATACATGCAGAGTAGAAGCGACAAGTGCGAAGGCGGTAAGAACCGATGGGTTGTACTCCATCGACATCGAGCGCATGGTGTTGTAGCACATGCGTTCGCGAGCGCCTGACTCAGGCAGGCCTAGGGAGCCATGAGCGACGCCACTCGGGACCACTACCGAAGCGACGACGGGTCCTGCAAAGAACGTAATCAGAACCGGCGCAGCGTTTGTAGGTACGCTGCATTCGGTTTACTAACCGCGTGCTTGCATGTTAAGTCTATTTATTTCAGATGGTGGGTTTTTACTTTTGTCCTAATGCTTTCCTTTCTCATATAAATCTCTACCTACTCTCTTCTCTAAACTTGCACACGTAGCTGAAACTAATAGTAGTTAATTTTGATAACACTTTCTCGTTTGTGGCATTTTCTTAAAATATATTTTCTGACCTCGTGAACCTATCTCGGATTCTTTTGTAAACAACTTATTTCATATGCTCATTAATTTATGATTTATTTCAACATTTCCTTATGCATTACTTGATTAATTTTCTTTGTTACCTTTCTCTCAAGTAAGTGGCTGTTGTTTGATATCCCCAGTGTGGCTGCGCTTGATGTGCATGTTGACAAGGTGCCTACCTGTCTATTACCCGCTACCTCGTCCATACTGGCTCCAGAAGATAGTTAGTCGTTGCTGGAGGGCACGGGATGCATGGTTCTGGTGGCCTTGTTAGGATCAAAGAGTGGTTCCATGCACTCAGTGTGGAGCGGACTACAGTCCAGCCACCGCCTTGTGTGCGGTTGATTCCCAAATACAACGTGCTTGTGTTTGCTTGTGAAGGAGTGTGGGTCGTCTCCATTGATAAAACGTGGTTCCCATCCACACGCCTCCCGGTCTTATTCCTTCGGATTTACTCTGGATGTGGGGTGTGGTTGGAGCTGTGGGTGGTGCAGCGCAAGCCGCTCACGGTCCCCTGTAGGCGCAGGCGTCCTGTGGCTGACCACAGTGACAGGCAAATCCGAAACTGGATGCCGCTCCGCTTGAGAAGTATATATGCTGAGCTACCAAAACCAAAAGTTAGAAATTACGGCGGAAAAGAGACATTTATCTTCATATGCAAGAGTTTAGAAACCGCACATTAAATCGAATAGTGATCCCAACAATTCGAAGAAAACCTAGTGCAATTAACTGTTGTTCATACTCTTATTATCTACCAAATGTGTTTTCACACCAGTTTTACACGAATCCTTTCCTTAGATCCATATAAAATGCAGTCTGGTGGAATACTACCGTTTCCGACGTGCAGGCAAGTGGGCTCGTCCCCACAAGTTTGATCTGCCGAATCGCCCATCGTCTAGTAGAAGTTTGAGCTAGCTTCGGTAACTACTGATTTTCTGAAAGTAGTGTAAATATACATACCAATTAATTTCCAAGAGTGACCATCACAGCCACACAGTCGCCACATTCGGAAACCTGAACGGCCATTTCGACCATACGGGACCGGTTAGCGGTGTGCACCCCATGTAGCTTGATGTAAATAGGCGATGTCTCGTGGACTGATTGAGGTAACCCGGGTCAAGCGCTAGTGGAACACTTTGAAAGACTACAAGGACGTGGCAAAGGGAGTAGAGGTTCACCACATCTAGACTCAGTCAGACAGCCATCACACACCCCGAAAGCATGGTACGGCCGTTTCATCCTTTCTGGATTCGTCAGCAATGCGCACTATCTGACCTCTGTGGCGCTCGAATCCGCAACTCGGCGGTTGCAGGGCGTGCGATGCCTATCTGACTGAGTGACTAAAGATACGGTGAATCTCTACTTATCCGATTCAATTCCCCCTATTAATCACGTATAAACAAAACGCAGACCAACTGCTCATAATGCCACAATCTAGTTGGAGGTTCAATTTTGGTAAGTTTTTCGCTTGGTGAGTGAGTTTCCCTGTCCTCTGCATGCGCAAATCAGTGGATAGTGAGCGGCGCTAGTTCACATCTAATGACTTAGTCACGTTGTCGTTACCGTCTCTCGTAGTTACGTGGTCTTAACTACAGACTGGCAACAGTCGAGCTGCAGGTTGCATCCCTACAAGGGCCAGATGGAATGCACACTGCTGACGATTCCCGAAAGGATGACACGGCCGCACAGTGCTCTTTCGTGCGTGTGATGGCTGTTTGATTGAATCTAGTTGTGATGAACTTCTACTGATAGCTCTTGAAGGAAGTAAACACACAGACAGCGGGAACGTATGGTATTCGTAGGGCGCGGATGAGAAAACAAACCGCACAAGGGACAAGAGATGTTGGTGGTCGTTTGGCATTCCGACAGTGCGGTGGCTAATCCGTATCGCTATTCCAGTGCTGGCTTGCCGAACAACCTCCTCGCGGTGCCAGCTGGGTGGTTCGTGTCATTTCCGTTCCAGCAAATGGTTCGGCGGCAGTGTTCCAGGACGTGGTGGGTTTTCGCCTGGCAAGCGTTCTCCCTATAAAAAGCCACGAATGTCTGCTTAACAACACTGCGAGGTGGCGGATGTGACTCGCCACTAAATAAAGTCAATGACCCTTGCCCCTTCCTGAGAGGCATTGTACTTCAAGGGTGTGTTGGGCCCCTGGTCCTCCACGGACCGAAAGGCGTATGAACCATCTGTTTGGTCACCGGCTCTCAACGGGTTGCGACGCCCTCACATCACCCTGCTGCCTTATAGGTTAGATCTCTGATCAAAGGCTAGGGGTAGGGCCCCCTAAGACAACCCTCTACTTCAGCATGGGCAACCGGGTAGTATCACGCCCACTGACGAATCATGGACCACACTGCTTACTACTGCTCCTGCTATGCCTATCTTCTATGCTAACTCAACCGCTCAACCTCGACTCACAGATCACCCCACCTCCCCTCCTTCACCTATATATTCTCTTATGTTTTCTACGGTCACCGTCACAAACGACCCACGTCTCGCAACTGATGGAAGCAACAGCCAAACTCCCGGTTTTCAATCGCCTGCGATCGCAACCGCCTCTCACTACACCGAAACTCCAGCTCTTCTTCGACCTGGTTCTCCATCCATCCTCGCAGTGTTTAATGCTCGAACTTTGATGCAGATCGGACGACAAGCATGTCTGGCCCGTACTCTTGAAACGCCTTCGGTAGACAGCCGTTGCCTTTCAGAGACCAGATTACAAGACTCTAGCGCCGTCATCAGAATGGCTTCTCCGGTAAACCCTGACGCCAAATACCACTTGCGGCTTTCTCGAGACCCAGAAGCTGCCGCCACTGGCCAAGCTGGTGTTGGGGTTGCACAGAGTGCCAGGGCTGAATCAGCTCTGCTTGACTGGATCCCAGTCAACAGCCGACTATGTGCGGTCAGACTAAGAGGTTCATGTAACGTAAGCAGGCGTCGAGAAGTTAAGCGTGCCTTGTTTATCGTCTCCGCCTAAGCACCTACAGACTGCAGCCCGGATGCAGCTAAAGATAGTTTTTACTAGCAGCTACAGGAACTTCTGCGTTCCTCCAAAAGGACTGATATAGTCATTCTTGCCGGGGACTTTAACGCACAGGTTGGCCGCCTTCCACCAAGCGAACACCACCTTCGGGATAGTTTTGGTCTCAGAGACAGACTGCTTGCTCTTTGCTCTGAGCATCGCTTGTATCTTTGGAGCACTAGTTTTCGGCACTCGAGGAGACACTGCTACCTGGCGCCCGCCCTCACAAACGCAAGAGTGCTCCAAGCTTGACCACATAGCAATCAGCTATAGATGGCGCAGAAGGGTAACGGACTGCCGATCATACTGGTCAACTTATCTAGACCGATCACGCATTGGTTCGTGCTAAGATTTGCATGCGTTTTGGAGGATCACCTAAGCGCGCTCTCTATCGACCGGACGTCGCAAATCTACAAAACCCTGCGATTTTAACCAGGTACCAAGCCTCACTGTCAACCTTGCTTGGCTCAGCTATTGACGGTGATCTCGATTCGCAGTGGGCGCATATCAAAGATGTCTTAGTTTCTGCCAGTATCAACACTTGTGGAGTTGCCCGTCACCCACTGAAGTATTGGATTTCCGCCGTCTCCTAGTCGCTGATGGACAAACGTCGCTTGATCCCATCGGGTTCCAGGCACAGTGACGAACGCCAATCCCTTGGTCGAGAGTTGCGCAGGAGTCTGCAAATGGACCGCGAAGCTTGGTGGTGTGAACGTGCTAGGGAGATGGAGCTTGCTAATCTCTGTTGTAATACCAGAAAACGTTTCCATCTCATTCGAGTCACCGAAGGTGTTCGATCTGGTATAAGTGAAACGATACGCTAAGAGGATGGCACCTTAATCACCAATCTTCAACGACGGTTGGAGCGATGGGCCGAACATTTTGACTCGCAGATTTGTTGGCCCCCAGCTCCATCTGCTACCTCTGGCGCTCGTGTTGGGGCCGAGTGATCTACCCCACAGATCCTCCCTCTTACCAGGAACTCGAGCAGGAGCTCCGGCACATGAAGCACTATAAAGCTCCCAGGCCTGATAGTCTTCGTCCAGCGCTATTTAAAGATGGTGGCGCTTCGCTGGTTCGAGAACTCACCGCTTTGTTCTCGAAAATTTGGTCGAAAGAGAAAGTTCCATCATCGTGGTGAATCGATAGTCGTCCCCATCTTCAAAAAGGGCTTGCGCACAATCTGCTCCAACTACAGAGGCATAAGCTTAATCCCCGTCGTTTGCAAGCTGTTGGTATGCATCATACTTCGTAGGCTATCCCCAACACGCGAATCGTTGCAAGGAGAAGAACAAGTTGGGTTTCGCCCTGGTCGCGGTTGCATCGATCAAATCTTCACACTCCGTCATATCCTCGAGCTCCGCCATGTGTATCAGAGGCCAACGATTGCTGTGTTCCTGGATATCCGTGCAGCCTTCGATTTTGTCGATCGTACGGTACTGTGGCACTACCCACTGAGGAATGGTGTCCCCGAAAAGTTCGTCTCCATACTGCGCGCTCCAAATAGTCTGACCTCGGGCAGGGTTAGGGCTTATGGCAAGCTTTCGTCTACCTTTGTGGTCTCCAGTGGAGTTCGACAACGGTGCCCTATCTCTCCGTTCCTATTCAACTTTGCCATTGAGGATGTCCTGAAGAAATCTTTCGGGGATTCGTTGAACGCTGGCGTTGAGCTCCTTCTAGGTAGTCGAGTTGTTGATTTGGATTATGCTGATGATATCGTCTTGCTGGGTGACGATCCACACGTCGTCCAACTTGCACTAAACCGTTTGGCGATTGAAGCATCCAAGTATGGTATGTACTTCGCGCCATCCAAATGTAAGACTCTCTTCCAAGACTGGAAGGTGCCTCTGCCTGCAATCACTCTTGGTGGTGAGACACTAGAGGTTGTGGAGAGCTTTGTCTACTTGGGAAGTTGCATCACTGCTGGCGGGCTGTTGGAGACGAGATTTTGATGCGCATCTTGAGAGCAGGCCTCGGGTTTTCTAGGCTGACGCATTTGTAGCGTCGCCACGACATTCGTCTCTCCATCAAAGGGCGGGTCTATTGTGCAACTGTTCGTGCTGTACAGTTGTACGAATGCGAGACATGGCCCATCCGTAAAGGTGACTTGCGCAGGCTATCCGTCTTCGAGCACCGCTGTCTGCGGTCCCTTGCCTGTTTATGGTGGCAGCACTACGTAAAGAATGTGGAAGTTAGACAGGCGTGTCTTGGGACGAGGAAGCCACTCGCTCGAGGAGCTCGTCTCATTGCCCCAACTGCGGTGGTTTGGACACATATTGCGCGTGTCTGTCCAGCGTAACCTGCGTCGTGCGTTGTTTACGGTTGCTGGACAGGGCTAGAAGTGACGGTCTGGTGGACAGCCTGCAACTTGGTGAAGCCGCATGAAAAGGCTGACGAAACAGTTGGCCTCGGCCGGTTGTTGTCGACTATCTGGTTGGGGACCAAGAGATGCGGACACCTGCTGGCTGAAGACCTTGGAAGCCATGGCTCAAGATCGATGTCAATGGCAGACGTGTGTATCAGTGTGTTGCGGTGTCCCTCCTCCCCTTAAAAAAACCAAACTGAAAATAGTTCAAAAATTGTGAGTGATAAACTAGACAAAAGAGCTTTTGTTGTTGGTGCTCTTTTCTTATTATTTATACTGTCTTTCTATTCACTCATGATTCCGATGGCACAATATCTGTACCACAGATTGTGTATTATATATATGGTTGGCGGCATCCGGTTTCGAAATTGCCTGTCACTGTGGCAAGCCACAGGACGCCTGCGCCTACAGAGGGACCATGGATGGCTTGCGCAGCTCCACAGCTCCAACCACATACCCCATATCCAATGTAAACCCGAAGGAATAAGACCAGGAGGCATGCGGATGGGAACCACGTTTCATCAACAGAGCCGGCCCACACTCCTTCAAAGGCAAACACAAGCACGCTGTATTTGGGGAATCAACCGCACACAAGGCGGTGGTTGGACCGTAGTCCGCTCCACACTGAGTGCATGGAACCGCTCTTTGAGCTTAGCACGGCCACAAGAACCGTGCACCCCGTCCCCTCCACCAACGACCAACTGTCTCCTGGAGCCAGTATGAACGATGTAGTGGGTAATATATATATATATATATATATATATATATATATATATATATATATATATATATATATATATATATATATATATCGCTATTCCAGAAAACCCTGTGCCACAAACAAAAGCTCTTGTGGACGAGATACAAATGAATGTTAAGTCGATGATAATTACTTACACACTTTTTGGTTACGTGTATTTCATGTGTAATTCGCAGCTGTCCCAAAAATGTAGAATGGAGTGAGGATATAAAATTAGAAATCTGCGTGCACAGGTGGATACATTTGGGGGTCCAATGTTGCCTGCTCAGAATGATAACTCACAAGATCCGATTTTCTTGACTCAGACCAAAGAAAGGATCAGAATAACTCAAGAAGAATGGACAAGTTGTAACGTCGTCAAATAAAAGGATTAGGCATCCGAAATGAAGGAACGAATGTAGCGTAGAAAGAACACCTGTTAGTGGAAGACACGGGTGCAAACAAAAAAGCAGAACCCCCAACCAACATATTGCTGAAGCATAGCAAGATGCAAGGCCAAACTACAACCGAGCAAATCGTGGAATCAAGCATTACAACCTTGGCGGCAAGTGATGCAGACAGAGAAATTAGTATGTCCAACATAGGCATGACTCACCTCCAAACTATCGCTTCCTTCCGCCTCTCGCTCGATTATATCAAAAATGGCCTCTTCCAGCTTCTCACCTTGAGAGAAACCGGCAGCCCAAATGTTCCCCGCCCCACCTCCATCTTTGGAAAGATAAACATTCTCTCGATTGTAGAGACGTGCGTAGGGAGAGCTCAAAATATTGTTCAATACACGCGGTTCTAGATCGAGCAGAACAGCGCGCGGAATGTAATGTGCATCATCGGCCTTGGGAGTGAGGAAAAGAGGCGGGAAATTGAGGACAAAGGTCATGTGAAGTAATGCGAAAACAGAAGAATGCTATACACAAAGAGTGGGTCACCTGAATTACGTAACACGGCTGTGGCCAGTATGCAGCTTTGAATCGGCAGCTTCCCGCTTACAGAAGTAGGAATGGTGATTAATACTTGGGCATTGATGTGACACGCATCTCAAAGTTGACTTTCAAGGACGAATCCGAATGCAACCTCGAACCAAATACCATAAACAATCAGCTTATCAGGAAGAAATCGCTAGAGGACAAAAGCTGTGCGTGACCGGTGACTGTTGAGAACACTGACTAGCAACTGGTTAACTTAAACTTGGAAATGTTAGGATAGGGTACGTCTCGGGAACGTAACGGAGGCCAGTCACATCAGGTAACTTTAGCAACAGTATGAAACAGGCCCGCGATGTATCAGTGGAAGGCGGTAAGTAAAGTAGTCAAAGCAAAGGGTGCAGAAACCATGGTGACTTCAGTGGAAGATTCAGCTTCGGTCTTCTGGGCTCGCGGTTTCATGGATTCGGTAAAGGGATCTGATATCGATAGTTCTACGATAACTGTAAAGTTTTGACGAATTGGGAACAAATAATCGTGAATCAAAGAGTAAAACTAACCCCAAAATGCAAAAAAAGTAAAAAGACACCTGCATTTTGTTTGGGATGAATTCAGGACAAGTAAGGTCCCGGGTTACAAAAAAGACGTAGGGGTGAAAAAATAGTTACTAAGGCTAGAGTTGCTGCAACATGAATTCTTGCTGGAATAGAAACCGTTGAGCGTGTGATGTCACTGCTAGTTCTCTAGAACCCCCATGCGCACACACACGTATTTCGCAGTTTGTAATCCGTTGGATGAGTGATTATCGACCGATCGCCCGCAGTTACTTTGCTTGCGTCCAGACTGTGTTACTTTACGAAATACATCGTCGTACGTACCTTTTGTGCAGAGCACTCTCTTCCGTCTATTGGGTGTGCGCCGTATGGCATACAGGGGCCAAGTTGCGCTTTCCATTACATAACAGAAGCAAAAGAAGCGAACCAACCAAGGAGTAACCAACAGGTAAAAGTGCAGGAGATAGATAAGTGGAAAAAAATACACTAACCTGATAGAAAAAGACATCTTTCCGATCGGTTCCGTTGGTTGCGAAATCTTCCAGCAGGCCCTCTGGGCTGATGCCATGTTCAGTGCAGAGTTGCTTCCAGAATTCCATACCAACTGCATGGACAAAGGGGAAGATAAAGAAGATATATGGTATATTTCCCACAGCACTAGATGATTAAACTATTAGTGACATAGTCGTGGAATGCTGAGTTGCAATGCGCTAAAATGGAGAACTACTGGCGAGTAGCCTGTAGCTTAAAAGTAGCGCAATTGTGTGCAATGTATATAAGGCAGCGATCGAAAGCTTGCACTACCTTTATCTGGCTGCAACTGATGAGACAACCGACGGTGAAACTAAAATTCAGCGCATAGCTCGGACAGACGGTTTGGATGGAAAACGGCAAAAGCAATACCGTCAATGACGACTCAGTGTTACTCAACGGTGAGATTTTGGACAGTGAGAGAAGGGTCCCATAATAAACGAACAAATATCAGTTACATTTCTCGTATACATGAGACACGCCTGGGGTTTGGAACATGTATGGCAATTGCAGCTGTGTTGTAAATGGTCTAGTTGGAACTGTTGTCTTGTATGGGGCTTTTGAGCTAATATTCCACTTCAAGAATAACTTTGACCATTACCTCAGTTCAGAAATGCTTTTCATCAGTTTTGGTGCAGTGTTGGAAGGAGCGTTTAAACTAGTAGTGTAGGGTACAACGAGAGAGCAAAAACAGGTTTCTTTTTTCCATTTTCTTTTCGATCAAATCCTCTTGAACCCCTCTCTATCCTCATAGTGGATCTTCCGTAGCCTCTAAGGAAAGAAAGCAATTAATATCGTTATGATTCTGCAAACTGTGTCCATGTTAGTAAATTGGTCTACGAATCTCATGTCGCCAATAAACAACTCACAAGTCATTATGCAAAAGCTCTTCATCTGCGTTCAACGTACGTAGCCTAAAGGATCCCAAGCCTACGTTATAATCCGAGGACACGGGTTCGAGCATGCTTAGGGGAGCGGGTGATCCTCGTAGTATCCGTAGCCCACGCGCAACGGTTTTTGCTTGCGTCGGTACTGCGTATCGACGTACTGTTGATACCCCTTCGTTCCTTTGTCCTTTACGTAACATGAAACACACTAAACCAGAAAAAGGTTGCATTTGCTCGAGCGATAGCTAAAAGATGCTGATGTATGTTGCGTCCCCATAAATAAAATTCCTGAGTCGCAAGCGGATAGCAAATTAAAGGACAGTTTGTTCGGTTGCTATCACCTGCATAAATGCATGAATATGGATGCAGCTACCTCAGACCTATCCGCTGTGTACATAGCTCTGCTCCAAAAGTCGAATCCATGCTAGTTGCTTGGATTCCAGGGAAACATTGCGCAGATTAAGCCCGCCTGAGACATCCTCAATCTGTAGCCACCGTTCTAGTTCTTTTGCATGTGACTTACCGATTTCAACCTATTGATTTGTTGTCACGTTATCACTCGAAAGGATGCGCGTTTGTAAGTGAGCAGAGGGCACGAAAGGGTACCCATCCTGCAGCATGCGTCTTCTTATTGTTCTGTTCAGGTTAATACAGTGAACAATGCTTCGAAACTGAAGTAGGCAAGCGCATGCGGAGGACAGATAGAGATTGCGTCCTCCCATGGCCACTGCTTAGGTCCTAACCGAATGATCCAAGAAAACGCGGCCGCAAAGAGATCTCTTTTCGAAGAATCAGTTCAGACAAATACATTTAAAAGACTAGGAGAGATAAGCACAAGCTGATGAAGGCTGAAGAGGAAGTGGTGGAGAGTCTGAACTGCCTCACTTTATTCGAACGGACGTAAAGTTGATCGGATAAGGCGGTGGGAGCCTGTGTTGTCGATGGAAACTGATCTAATATGACCTCACATGACAGGACTCACTGACCCCTTCATTGAACAAATTGGGTCAGCTGAGAAGTGAAGTCACCCTCAGTCAATAACGATGTTCTATGCAGATAGATCCTCGTCACGACCACGGTAAAGTAAGAGATTAAAACAGCATCCTCTGCTTGTAAAGCTTTAGTTGCGTTAACTTGATTGCTATCGCTAGGCGCCTCCTAATTTACTTGCATCTGTGGTGCTAAGTACCTCGGGCACACGACCACGCATCTGTCAACACAGATAGCTGAGCACTGTCCCCGGTCTTTGCAGAAAAGTAATACGGGAAGTATAAGAAGTTCCATCCTTGAACATTCAGGTCAAAGTAAACACGAAATTCTGATTAATGATGCTTTCAACGATTTCTACACCGTGCCGAAACGATTTCTTAAGGGCCGCTCTGTAGGCGCAGGCGTCCTGTGGCTGTCCTATGGAGGCCGCAGCGACAGGCAAATCCGAAACCTGATGCCGCCAACCATATATATTCAATAAATGACCAATAGCACAATTAACATAGTGCAACAACGTATGGGAAATACAGCAAGCAAACGAAAAGAAAAGAATGCAAAACAGAGTGTCACAACATGTCCAGCATTGCGCATGGTTTCTTGTCATATCCGAGAGGGTTTCCAGCCATGCGTGTTCGTGGTCCTTGCGTCCCCAGCCGGGCCTCGAGAGTACCAGACTACGGGCGAATGTGAGGTTAAATCCTTCATACTTCTAGCGCAAGTCATATGTTGGCCAATTTGCTGTTGCTTCCAGCCGAGTTCTGCGCGCGCGAAGAGGGCACGGTGAGGTAAACGATGAGTATGCACGCAAAGCACGTGCCCAAGCCATTGAAGTTTGTATAGTGAAATTATGCTACTCAGTGGCCGACAAAGTCTGTCTGATCTGAAAATCCTCCGTCAAACATCCTCATTACTAGTGTGATGTTGCCATCGCACATCAGCAATGCTCCGAAGGCAGTGATCAAAAACAGACAGCTTCACTACATCCTTTGCGTGAACAAGCCAAGTCTCGCAGCCATAGAACAGGACCGCTCTCACCGTGGCATTGTAAACTCGGCTCTTCAGACAGACCCAGATCATCTCGGCGCCAGAGATGGCGGAGATTAGCAGAAACAACCTGAACACTGGAGACGCGAAAAGAGACTTCATCCGTTAAACCATTCGCGCTGAGACAGCTTCCGAGGTAAATGAACTTGGCAGCCACTTCCAACAAATGAGCTGAAAGAGTAAGGAGAAGAGTAGTGCCTAGCCAGTCCTGTAGTAAGACAATGCATTTCGATGGAGCGATCATTCCAAACTGAGAAACAGACACCTCTAACCTACACAAGGCATTTTGAGTGGCCTGTGGGGGGTCGCAAATTAAGGCGATGTCGACTGCATACTCCAAATCCCGAAGCCATTCTTCCGGAAGCAGAACGACGCCGTTGGTTTCGCAGTTGTCTAGAGCACTCTCCAGGATATCGTCAATAGCGAAATTGAACAAGGAGCGGGATGCTGGGAAGCCCTGTTTCACGCCAGCAGTGACACTAAAGAGGGACGAAAGTCCACAGTACACCCGCTCTTTAAGAATGGGGGGGGGGGGCGGTGACAGCTTCACACAAGCTCCCACCCTACTAGTACTATGCGCGTAAAGCAACTTTATGATGCTTACGCATTTTCCGGGCACACCTTTGTAAGCAAACGTCCCGCAAGCTCGTCGATCCATCTAATTTTAAGTACCTTTAATGATAGGAACATGACTACGATAAATCGTCAAGATAAGTGGCGGTGCTTCAATAACTGACCTAAAGTGAAGATGTGATCAATGTAACCTCGGTTTCGACGAAACCCGGTGTAATTTTCGTTAATCTGGCTTTCACGGGTGCCAGTCAATCTTTGGAGGATGAAGGAGGCAAGTAACTTGGAGGCAATCGAAAGCGGACTGATACCTCCATGATTGCCGCTTTCAAAATGTAAACCTCCCTTGAAAATTGGGACTACAACGGAGCGGCTGTAGCCTGGTGAGAAATTTCCCTGCTCCCAGAGTTTGACTAATAAAGCGCTCAAACTGTCGTGTACGAGGCCCAGTCTAGCTTAACCAGTGACTACCGCATCTGTGTCTCCGGATGCGTGTAACCAATGGCCAGAGGACAAGCAGTGTGCAGTTAGTTAAACAAAGACGTGAGGCCTGTTGATGCTAGTTTGCGACAATCAACACACCGATACCCATGGTGTCTAACGAGAGTGCGAGTGCTGCCTGTTGACTTATTTGTCTTAGAGTGCGAACGGTGAAATCCGCCAGGGAAACGGAACGCGGTAGGCCTATGAGGTGCCGTTGCTGCTAGGAGTAAAGTAAGTGATGTGGGAAGATATCTGCAAATGACAGAATTCCAGTGGCATTGCAACTATCGTCAATCAAGATGGGGTAATAAAGAAGGAAATTTAATAATTGGAGTCGGGAGAGAGTTAAGATAAACAGATGGAAAAGAAAGGAGATTATCAGTAGCAGGTTTTCGCTTATCTGCTTTTCTGTACACAGGAAATAAAGTGACTTTTCCAAAATCGTGTGATAAACGATGCCGGATGAAGTTGAGGTTTCATGAAAGTCATGTTTGTAAGTGCTTGTGTTTGCTGTGAAGGAGTGTGGGCCGGATCCGTTGATGAAACGTGGCTCCCATCCGCATGCCTCCCGGTCTTATTCCTTCGAGTTTACACTGGATGTGGGGTGTGTGGTTGGAGCTGTGGGTGGTGCAGCGCAAGCCACCCATGGTTCCTCTGTAGGCGCAAGCGTCCTGTGGCTTGCCACAGTGACAGGCAAATCCGAAACCGGATGCCGCCAACCATATATATGTAATTCAACGAAATTCCCAGGTTACTGGAAATATGCTACAAACGCAATAAAATTATATTTGCCGCATATTTGTTGATAACCAACTTGCTTTATATGATAATTTAGCGAAGAGATGTCTGCATAGCCGTATGCATTAACAGATATACCTTTTTGATAATGTTATTTCAAGTGATGGGCTGTTGCTTGATATCCCCGGTGTGGCTGTGCTTGATGTGCATGTTGACAAGGTGCCTACCTGTCTATTACCCACTACCTCGTCCATACTGGCTCCAGGAGACAGTTGGTCCTTGCTGGAGGGGACCGGGTGCACGGTCTTTGTGGACGTGCTAGGATCAAGGAGTGGTTCCATGCACTCAGTGTGCAGCGGAC